TTGGCTGACTGGATTGATGTTATTGTCACGTGATTCTATAATCAAGAGATTAGCTATGTCGTTCTAAAGACCAGTCATTTCACAGGAAAGTTTCACGAATAAAATATCCTGTAACCATCACACTATAAATGTATTATACGAAAAATTCAATGGTGTGATTTGCAATTTTGCATATTTTTGACGATCTGTCTTTCGAATATTTAAAATACAAAATTTAATGAATATAAAATTTCACAAATTCTATTTCTTTTGTGCAATGTCTGAACGATTAGCGCTATCTAGAGTTTTCATATTTCCAAATTTAGCCTATAATTTTCACAAATTCTATTTCTTTTTTGCAATGTGCAATTGTCTGAACGATTAGCGCTATCTAGAGTTTTTATATTTCATGTACGTGTATTTTACCACCATATTTGACCTCATGACCTTGGAGTTTGACCTGCTCTTGAAAAAAAAATAATCTTGGCCATAAATTCTGAACGATCGGTTTTAAGGCTTTCATATTTCACATGTGTACTCCACACATGACAAGGCTTTCTTTAAGTACCACCATTTTGACCTCATGACCTTGGGGTTTTACCTACTTTTGAAAAACTTTAACCTTGGCCATAACTTCAAACTGTTGGAACTTGAACTTTCATCGGTATTCATATTTCGTATGATGATTATGCCTTGTGACAAGACTTTTAGGGGTATCACCATTTATCACTGTTTATGACCTCTTAAGATAGTACGGGTATTAACAGATTAATGTTGCAGCTGTTGCAGAAAAAATGCATAACCCGAGTAAGCGGGCTAGGCAATTTTTTCTGCAATAGCTGCAACGTTAATTCCCGTACTAACAAAGAAAGAAAGACATTTTATTGATTATATTTAAGTCTGTGCAAATAATCATTTAAAGTAGGATTATGTAGATGAAATAGTGCATTATTGATATTTACGTCATTGTACGTTTCATTGATGGAACAGCCACTATTCCAGAAATCCGTAGAGGTGAGATGGTAAGTGGTGTTTACTGACTGATAAACGACAATGGTTTTCTTAGAAATTTCTTTATTAGAAATAAAGGAGATAATATTCAGTGGATGTAAATATTAAGTTTTTTTTTACTCCTTATGAGTAACTTAGCCCCTGTGCTTAAACTAGGTAGATAATTCAAAGATTAGCAGGAACATTTACTGATGACCGTTATGTTATCAAATGGGCAGATGTAAGAAACCAGTCAAAATTTATCGAAATATGGGACCGGTGCTGGAAAATTTATTTTAAAAATCATAAGCGTCCATGGTAACGGGTTTCGTAAAAATTATTGGTCCCATGCTCTCTACCTTGCAAAAAAGTTGATGTCCCCTGCTATATACAAGCCTAACATATGTCTTAACTTTAACATAATTTCTGTGATTGTGACAATATTTCAACAACAGCCTATGTAATCCATTTATATTAACAATTAATTTACAATTGTCAAACTTTACACTGAAAATATATGTAGATTATGTATAATAAACGGATACATGTAAATACAATAATATATACAGTTGAGCTCATTATTTACCACAGTGATGGTCCTATATATATCTTAGGCTGATAATGAAAGTAATCATATTCTTTAAGTAGTACATAGCGCGGGGGGGGGGGGGGGGCTGTAGCATATAAACAAAAATAATTTGTCTAAGTAATAACTAGGTACAATTAGTAAACAATATTACACAAATTAAGGATTTTTAATATTTTTTTCCAAATCATCAAGTGAGTACAGTATACATTAATCTGCAACAGAACAGACATCCCATGATATCAACCATTCTTTTATATATTATAAATACATTATGTACTTAAATGTTTGAATCCAAACATTTACATGAATTAAGATGGTTTTTATAAATTGCCTATTAATTTTATTTACACATTTTCAATAAATGGTACAACTATAATGCAAGTCTTGAAATGGACTTAAGCTTGTAAAAAAAATGATGTATATGTGTCATAAACTGATTTGAAGTAATACCATAGAGTCCAAATAAAATAGTGTCTAAAATTGTAAATTCCAAGTTTCAAAGGACCTGGACATCTGAGATCCTAGTTGTGGCCTTTTAGCCAAGGTTCTCATGGACTGTACACGTCCTACTTTTGGAGTTTGATGCCATGCTTACCTGGCTACCCTGGGTGTCAGAAATTCTAGTCAGGGAGCTTAGGCACCCTGGTTAGACTCCTATCAATACGTCATAATTTGCACATGCTTGTAGTACGGGGGGCATTTTTGGAAAATATATAAGCTATAGTTTTAATATAACAAATTTAGTTTATAGGCTGCCCCCCCCCCCACCCCCCCCCTCCCCCACATTTTGTTGCAGTTTGGTCGAACTCTTCTAAATTCTTGCATTCAAAAAATATAACGAAAACTTAAATTAAGTAATGTCCCCTCCCTCGCACGAAATAAGATTTTCGATTTTTGGGCAGTTATTTTTTTTTTTTTGGGGGGGGGGGGGCTATCCTTTTTTTAACAGTTATACAGTACAATATACATTCTAGTTCTTCTATATACTTCAATTGTTATATGATACAGATTTTTTTTTTTTTTTTTTTTTTTTTTTTTACTTTTATGGGGTACAAATGTCATTTTTTTTACACGACTGTTTCTATTAGACATAAAGAATCTCGAATCATATTTGAGATGCATGAAATGAAAATTGTTGCTTAAAAAGTTTTTAATTTCAAGCTTTATTTGAGTCTTTTTTGAAAAATTAAATAATGATTATAAGAGTTATCGTTCCTAACTGAGGAGCGGATATCCTTGATCGCAGCAAAGCTACAAAATATACAAGTGTAACATGTACACACACTAAGCCTGGGATTTATAAATTTTGTCAAGAGGATTTCATTACCACTCTGGTGTCGAGATTATAACTACATCCGCCTAAAGAGGATTGTTACTTACTTATTGATTTTTTTTTCTCATTATGGATGACTTGCAGGCCCGTAGTATATAAAAAGCAATTTCAGTTGGGGAGGGGTTAGCATATTTTTAACAATTAAGCACCCCCTCCTCGGTTCTTACCGACCTGAAGTGTTTAGTTTTAGTTTAGTTAAAAATTTACTTCATATTTAGTTAATAAACCACCACAATAAGATTTCATCTTTTTCAGTTTGTCAGTCAAAATACACAATTCATGCCCTCCGCCAGATCAGACATTCTAAACAATCCCCTGCATATTGAAAAAAAAATTAAATTAACAAAAATATTTGTTTTTATTGAGAGAGAGAGAGAACTGAAGAGAGAGTTTAATAATCAACATTGTCCGATCTACAAATTAATTGAGTGATTGTTGGCAAATGGTTATGGATAGGTTGAATCAAGGTCAGACGACACGTTCCTCAAATATATGCTTTGTATCTCTTGGTATTATTGAAAAATTATTTATAATTGTCATTCTCTTGTGATTTATAAATTGAATTCAATATATTTTAAAAATAAGTACACTAAAAATTGACTTTGGCAATTCAAAAGATTACCCATAAGGATTATAGTAGAATTATAGGAGCAATATCACCCTCTGGTATCTTGCCCAATTTCCTGGTAAGGTATTTCAATTTTTGGTGAGAGAACATGTTTAAGTAGTAACATTTCAATGATAAATTCTTGGGAAAAATTATATATCATATATTTTCAAGGAACGTGTCGTCTGACTTTAACTGTATGAATTAAATGTATTTATAAAGCAAAGAACAGATGAAAATATAGGCCGATGTTAAAATTTACCCATATGGTTCATTATGGATGAACTTTACAAAGGTCAACATGGATAACAGATTCGATAATAGTTATAGAATCTGCATTTATACATGTATATGATGCAGACGCGGATTCAGGCGGGTGCGCTCCAGGCGCACCCCCTCTAAATCAGCAAAAAATCGTATGAGATACAGTTTTCAATGCCATTTATCGATATTGTACAGATCAAAATTACAGTTGTTTCGTGTCAAAATAAATTATTTCTAATTGCGGATTCTCATGCATGAGTTTACAGGGGCCTCGCCCCCGGACCCTTATCAGACACCGTCCTTGACCGCTAGGGACCCCGTTGGTACCAAAACCCCTCGTAATCTTATGGCGCCCCTTTATTTAAAAACCCTGGATCCGCGTCTGCATGTGATATATACAACGCTAAAGTTGAAGACAGGTAGTTCTTTGTGCATAGTTATCTCCATATTTCATCTAAAAAGCCACTCAGAATTCCGAAACCTACAATATAATTAAGATAGTAATTAACAGGATGATTGAGATTTAAAGCAATTATAGTGGGTAAGGGTGTAAATATTGAGCTTATCTATTATATTTTCAATTTAACATACCTGGTACCATGAATTTATCCCAGGAAAATTTTCAAAGACAGTGAAGCACTGATGAGCAGAAATCACTGTTGTTTACCTAAGTGGGGAAAATACCTGCAAATGAAGTGTTCAATCTAGATTCAACTTGGGCCTATAGTTAAAAAATGTTATGAAAGCTTGATTTGATCACAGGGGCTTGCTCCCGGCGTGTAATAATTATTTATTTAAAAAAATCATATACGTTAATACTAAAACTATTAACGTATATGATTTTTTTTAAATAAATAATTATTACACGCCGGGAGCAAGCCCCTGTGATTTGATCACAAATTTTAATCTTAAAAGTAATTAACTGTGCATATTAATTTATTTCATTTTAGCTCAAAGGGCAGATTATTCTACCTGCATTAAAATACCACAGAATCAAAGCTCTTTAGTGTTCAGAGTATAGAGGGCTCTTAAAGAGGGCGTACATTTTATACATTCATATGGAATGAAATTTGGCGCCAAACTTTACTTTCGAATCTCCTCGGGATTCTTCTCTCCAAAAAACAGCATTGAAAGGTTGACTTATCACTTCCGGATCAGACCAATCGTGGCTTTCGATCGCCTTGCGCGTGGTGGGTTTTGATTGGTTCGACTTTTGCCATGTGGACCAATGATATATTACCATCTGTAAAGTCACGTGGACTACGCCGGCATCTTCACTATCAACAGTACAACTCTGGAGGACACGTCCAAGATGAAAACGTGTGTTTGTTTGCTCCTTTTTGTGGGAGTTGCTCTGTCAGAACCAACTGAATATTTCAGGGAAGAGTTTGATTCAGGTATGTAATACTTTTTTCGGTGCTATTCTCACATGAAAGTGGATCTGTCTACTTGTCAATTTATTTAGTGGTAGTATGAGTATTATGTTTTGCACTAATTTATAGCATAGTCATGAAATATTTTATGTAAAATCTTGAATTCTTAGACTTAAGCAAAAGTCAATATGAAACGTGTAGTTTAGATAATCTTGCAGGACATTTTATGACATGGACATCGATTGTACATGGGTCAAGATTTGGTCACGACTTTTAATGTAGAATATATGAGTAATTTATTATGTGAAAAATATTTTAATATGCACAAATCGTAGAAGTTGGATATTTCTTTAAAACTTCGAATAGAAAATCAGGTAAAATACTGCATATGACACGTAATTAAATTTCATTTTGCAGAAAGTTGGAAAGACAGATGGACGGAGTCTACGTACAAAGGAGCTGACCAGGGTAAATTTGTCTGGTCTGCAGGCAAATTCTATGGAGATTCTGAGAAAGATAAGGGTATGTTTATAGATAGTATCAAATGATTTAGTAGTGAAATTTACTCAAGGCAACAAAAGAACAACTGTTGATGTATATATGCTAATTATGCTTGTTAATTATTCTGTCAGTTTTTATGTCACTTTACAAGATGCCTGGCAGGTATGAGACTTGAATTTCTAAATGAGAAATTAATCTTAACTATTTTCTTCTTAAAGGAATCCAAACCTCTCAGGATGCTAAGTTCTATGGAATTTCTTCTAAGTTGGAGAAACCATTTAGCAATGAAGGAAAACCTCTGGTCATCCAGTTCACAGTAAAGCATGAGCAGAACATTGACTGTGGTGGTGGATACATTAAACTTTACCCCAAAGATCTGGACCAGAAAAACCTACATGGAGATTCTCCATATTTCATTATGTTTGGTAAGATTTCAACATATTTCACAAGATAAACATGTTTAATATTATATTATAAATGCCATTTATTTAATTATTATTTTTCTTTGCAGGACCTGATATTTGTGGACCAGGCACCAAAAAAGTCCATGTCATTTTCAACTACAAAGGAAAGAACTTGCTTTGCAAGAAAGAAATCCGTTGTAAGGATGATGTTTTCACTCACCTGTACACTCTTGTCATCAATCCAGATAACAGCTACGTGGTGAAGATTGACAATGAGAAGGTAGAGAGTGGACAGCTGGAGGAAGACTGGGACTTCCTGCCACCAAAAAAGATCAAGGTATCACAGAAAATAATACTATATAGCTTAAAAAATATTAAAAGGATTTCATAAGAAAATTAAGTTATTTTTTAACACAGAGAGTTGAAGATGTGACAGTGTTATTAACAGAAAAATTGTATATGTACTGAAAGTTGATTCACAATAAAGTTTTAGATTAATAATAGAAAAAAACCTTTATTTTAGGACCCAGAGGCCAAGAAACCCGATGACTGGGATGAGAGGGAGAAGGTTGATGACCCTGATGATAAGAAACCAGAAGACTGGGACAAGCCCGAACACATTCCTGACCCAGATGCTAAGAAACCTGACGATTGGGATGATGAGATGGATGGAGAATGGGAACCCCCACAGATTGATAACCCAGACTACAAGGTTTATAGGCATTTCTCAGAATGTTGAATTTAACATATAATCCTTTTGACAGATGTTTGTCTGATGTCATTATGACACAAGGCAATAATTTTGTGCCTCTCATTATGCAGGGAGAATGGAAACCCAAGCAAATTGATAACCCTGATTACAAAGGCAAATGGGTCCACCCAGAAATTGATAACCCAGAATACACTCCTGACACTAACCTTTACAAATATGATGATATTGGAGCAGTAGGATTCGATCTTTGGCAGGTGAGGGTGTTATAATGCAGAAAAGTAAAATAAAATTGAAATTTGCCATCTTTAGTTAATTTTTTCCCTTTTTTGTGTACTTGACATTGTTAAGATGTTTCTGACTTAATTACAGGTGAAATCTGGTACAATTTTTGATAACATCCTGGTTACTGATGATGAAAAATATGCTGAAAAAGTTGGAAAAGAAACATGGGGAGAAACCAAAGATCCAGAAAAGAAAATGAAGGATGGACAGGATGAAGAAGAGAGAAAGCAGAGGGAGGAGGAAGAGAAGAAAAGGAAAGAGGAAGAAGGTAGATAAATGTTTAAAGAAAAGATCTATTTACTTCCTGGTTAAAGTTGTTCCTCTGATAAGAGAGGTAACTCCCTCTGGGATAAATGGAGATCATGTTATTCCTTAATAAAATCTTTACAAGGCCACACTTCTCAAATTTTGTCATGCAAGGTGCACTGAAATTGTTCAAATTTTATTTAGAAAGAAAAAGATCTTGTTAAAGCAAAATTTCATATGAGTGAACACTAATGATTTCCTTGCAATCAGCATTTTTTGAAAAATCACACCCCTGCTTCTTTCTTTTCCAGAAAAGAACAAGAAAGATGATGATGAGGGTGAAGATGATGAGGAAGAGGAGGAGGATAAGGTAAGTTGTTATTTCTGTAAAGAAAAAAAGGACACCATCCAGAAAAATATCTTATCTCCACAATGAAAAAAAGGGTATACCACCCAGAAAAATTATTACATAGCTTAAAAGTTGATGAGGGACTCATTTAGAAAAAAGACATAAAAGTGTTTAAGAAATATTTATTTATATTATCTTTTCTTTTTATTCAGGATGAAGAGGATAAAGTTAAAGATGAATTATAATAAACCAATTGAATTAGATCTTAAAGACATTTTGCAGTGTTTAGGAAGACCATTCATTCTTACCTCTTCATTGCTCACTACACAATTCCATTAATCATGATGAGCCATTCATGAAATTGTGAATGAGTAACTGTTGAAGTGTAAATGTGTTTAAATGTGTGTGTGTATACCTGAGGATGGATGTTTGTGAACTGAATGTTGATGTTAGATGGAATATAGTTTTCTACTTTGGGGACATTATTTATTGTTTTCATTTTCAGCAGATAGCTTTACTTAAATAAGCAAAAATCAAAGGGTGCATTTCCATTCTTTTTATCTCCTTGAAAAAGAACTAATGTCTGTTGTTAAGTATAATTTATTCATGAAAAGTGAATAAAAGTGGGGTTTTAATAAATCTGTGTTCTTGTTATTCCTCTTTTATTGTTCTGAGCTTGACCCATGTGATAGAGAAATGAGTTGATGGTACATCATGAAAATTTGCACATTTCATTTTCAGTTTAGTAGTTTTTATCCCAAATGGTCAGAGACGATATACACCTATTTACTGGCTAAGAGGTCAACAGTAAGTTTATTGTCCCTGAGACAACAACTATGTCGCTCGATTGCGGTTTAAGAAGTGGTTGCCATCGAGGAAGACAATAAACTTGCTATTGTTGTTGGCCAGTAATTAGGTGATTTATTGTACCAAAGCAGACTTTGGTTGTGTCAGACTATTTTACGTCACAATCTGGATAAAAATTAAAAAAAAAAGTTCCAAGATGAAGTGTGAGAAAAATTGACTGCTACTGGAAGAGGAAGAAGGCAGACAAATGTTTAAAAGAAAAGATCACTTAATATTTACTTCCTGGTTGTAGTTCACTTTTGATGACTATTTCACCATAGGCAGATGGCACAAAACTTTTTCATGGTAGATGCTGTTTAGGAAAAAAATGGACATGGTTCAATAAATTAGCTTATGCATTAGTGTAATAGTAAAGTGTGTGTCAGTCTGTCTGTGAACAACATTTCAAAATGCTACTCCTCCTACATACAGTTTTGGTCCAATTGGTACACAAGTACACTATACTAAGATACATAGTTCTATGGATAAGTTTTTGATTCTGATAAACAGCATTGCCATGGTTACAAAAAAAAAAATAGATTGTTATTAATGTACACAATGCCAACTTGAAATAAATTTTACTTTTTACTTACTCTTTGCAATTCTTTCAAAGTGCAACTCCTATACTTTTGATCCAATACTTAGATACATTACATGTCTGTATATTGGTTTTTGAGCTTGACAAATGGTGTTGCCAAGGTTACTATTAATTTTCTTATAAAACCCTACTCTCAGTTTTGGTCCAATTTCAATAAAAGACCTGGTACACAAGTAGACAGTACAAAAGAGGCCCACAGATCACAACACTAACCTAAGTAACTATGACCCATCATCATCGTTCTTTTTCTTAAATATTCTTATGTAAAATTTGTTCACATATTGTTGTCCCATCCTACCCCAGGGGGTCGTGAATTGAACAAATTTGAATCTACACTACCTGAGGATGTTTCCATATAACTGTGACTATTCATGACTGCCATTCTTGAAAAGCTTTTTAAAGATTATCCTATATATTCCTACGTAAAACATCGATTGTTCTTTGTGGTCCCATCCTACCATCGGTGGTCATGATTTGAACACATGCCCCACATTGAATCAGGACTGAGACTCCTGAAGAGGCACATTTGAAGCATGTTCTACTGGATGCACATCTGCAAGTTTGGGTTGGATGCCCCTTGAGGCAAGACAGTAATCTAAATGCTGTTCTCTCCCTTGTCTACATATAGTCTACATGATTGCAGTATACATATCCCCCCCCCCTCCCCCCCCAAAAGAATCATTGCATAGGAGGGTGGGATATTGGCATTGGTGGTGCTTTGCAGCTAAATTGCTTTTCAAGGGTTATGCCCCTTAGAGTTCTCCTTCAGACAATTCCCTATATATCACTTCACAGATTTAATCAGGCATACAATGTATAGCTTCAAAATAAAAAATAACACCATCTCTCTTATACATTTTATTGTAAGGCGTGTTTTCGTTAGATGACAACAATATGTAGATATTTTATTATTGCACTGTAACTGAAATCAATCTCAGAGCTTGCTAACAAACCCTGTTAACAATCCACACAAATAAAACAGCTATATGTGCATATAATTATAAATATTTAATTAATAATCTACTTCACTACTTTATTGCACTTATTCTTGAACAAATATGTATTTTTACAGCACTAAAGAGTATTTTCTTTACAGTATTATTAGTTTGTATTCATCTGGTGGTCACTTATAGTGGTGGAAGACAAAAATAGGATTGTTTCCAAGAAAATGTTGAAAAAAAAAAAATCAACCTGTATAAAAATATTTCATAATGCATAGTTGATAAAATACTGATAATTTGAAATCAAAGTTGAAAAATACAACCTACATATTTCCATGAAGAATGCAGAAAATACTTATCACAGTTTCAAAACCGGTTTCAAAATTCTGGGATCAGTGTGGTCAAAAATCTTTTTTTTTAAACTTCTAATGAGAATTATATAAGGTTATAAATATCCTGTGTGTTTCATAAGAGGCATTAATGGAGTGGACAGGAACAAAGCATCTAGAGTCTGTCATTATCTCAATACAGTGATACTTTATCTGTCAAGGAAGACTTGCAAAAATCAAAAAAAGAAAAAAAATCACACACAATATAATCCAGAATATGACAAATCCATATCAAGTATTAGAGAATATTCAGAGGTCTGACTATTGTTATTAATACATGTCGTAAATTTCAGAAGCATTATTTTTTTTTCCAAAATAAATACAACAATGTTTGAAAGGTGAATTAATTTTCCACTTGTAAATACAGAGCTATTTTCCATGCCACCTTCTTGCTTAAAACTAAAACCTAATATAAATGTAAAATTTATATTTTCTAACAAAACAAAGCTATTTTGAAAACAAAACAAAATGAGGGAAACTAAAAAATAGCTGAGTATGTGTAATAAGACACTTTTAAATCACACAGCAGCAATAACATTCTGTTTCAAAAGTCACAATAAAAAAATCTCCAATATCTAACACCTTTAAACATGTGAATTTATTCAAAAGAAGCATGTTATGAGTAAGAAGGTCACATTAACGGTGTTTACATCATCACAGCTGGTTTGTAGAGTTCTTGTTGTTCTTTATCACTACTTTATCTTGTTAACAGTAGCATACACTGGCTCCTGCACAAAATCAAGTTTAAAACCCTTTTACTGCAAAATAAAAGTTCATGTTAGCATTTCATGTCTTTCTTAATTTTCTTTTCTTTGATATGTAAAATCCTCATGGTCATATGTCCATACACACTGTTTCAAACATTAAGAGTACAATACTGTAGTATCAATTACAAGTGTGTGTGTATCTAGTTACTAAGCAGTATATATCATATACTGATCAGTCATCTGTTATACAGGAATATCTAAGTGAATAGGTTGAGTATGTCAAATAGTCCATCTGTTATTATACATAATTATCATTTAGGGAGTTAACAAAGATTCCAGTTCCCCAAGGAGAGGACTATTTCCTGAGGTGAAGCTGAGGGAAATAGTCCTGGTTGAGGGGAACTGGAATCTTGCTAACTCCCTATGATATAATTTAAATTATTTTATTATACCAATACAAATATCGAAGCACTTGACTAACGCATGGCAAAACAGGCACAAGTCCATTCACAATGATACCGACATAAATTTCGAAGCAGGGATTAATAGCTCATTTGACTAAAGCATGGCAAAATGGGCATTTGTCCATTCACAGCGATTTCTAGGGAATTATTCACATTTAATGATTTTATATAGGGAAAATCAGTAGAGGTTAAATAAATATTTATAAATATACAGGCTGTATACAATAAAATAGTCTGTTTCTACTTATTAGTACATTGACTGTATATGATCAAAAAGCTTTTCTGATATATATATATGCACATTTAAGCAAGCACATATTAAGCTGTATGCAGTCACACAGTCTATCTGTTAAATGTTAATATAAAAGTACACAGGCTGTAAGCAGTCATATAGTGTAAATATAAAAGTACATAGGCTTTATGTAGACACACAGTCTATCTGTTACATGTATAGCCTATAAGAGTACATAGGCTGTGTATGATTAGACTGTCTATATTTAATGTTTAGAGACATTATATAATCAAAAGTCTACATTACATGGTATGCTTATCAAACTTCACTATTTTGTGAACATTAAAAAAATTTATAAATAATACACTGTAAATCATGAAGCAATATCATTCACAGCTTAAGATCAACGAAGACTAGAAAATACTTACCGAACCATTCTGGACTGGTTTTGATGCGACCAAAAGTCCAAAGGGATCATTGGGGTCGGACACAGGCTGCAAAAGTAAACCAGCTCGTCTTATTTTACCGTATATTGTAGACAGTTAAATACATGACAATAAACATTAGGTTTAAGAAAGAAAAATCAATCAAAGAATAATGTTTTATCTGAAAATCTGTTATGTGCATTTAAATATAGTCTCTAATTAAATAGTAAATGTTTTTTTTTATAACAGTATAGCTTAGTAACTGTACAATTATTAATGAAGAGTGCATACACGTGACAAAGGAACAGAAAAAGGGTTTAAGGCAGGTGCAGGCAGTAAGCTTACAATTCAAGTTGTTATAATGAATAGAAATCAGAATATAGTTAATTTTCTAATGGGACTTAAACTACAGCCACATTGGAACTCTTAAATATACTATAAATGACTAAATTCCAATAGCCTGAATTTTGTTGAATTGCAATTTGTTTAAACACCTCTGGCCTGTGAGTAATTTTTCTGTCAAGTATGAAAATTTTAGGGGCATTATGTGCCAGCTGTCACTAAGAGGATAGATGAGGGAAGGTGATGGAAGTATGATCCTTCACAGTCCCAGAATTAAAGCACATCTAATTTCAGAGCCAAGTAACCTTGACCTTATCCAAACAATCATGGTTATAAATCATGCTGAGAAGAAAATCATCTTCCTAATGCCCCTCCATTACAAAGTTTGTTTTGAAGATATTTACATTTCTTTCAGAATTTGACAAATCTTAATTTTGTGACCTTGACACTGTCTTTTTTTTCAGGGTCAATATCCTACAATCATTTTTAACCCTCGAAACAGGTCAAGTTTGATTTTTTAAATTTTTCTAGATTACAGAATTATAATATGGACATGAATTTCTTAATCTTATCCAAGTTTCCATGAAACAAAGTTTTTAAACACCCACTAGATGCAAGCAATCTTTGTGGCTAGTTATGTTTCTCTTCTAAAAAGGTATGGCTAAAGCAAAAAATTTTTACTTCTGAAATATGTGACTCTGTCTAAATTACCCTCAAGCTTAAACTTTGAAAAAGTTGTGGTTAAAAAAAAATACTTTTGTGCTTTCTGATCATCCAACTGACCTTGGTTCAGGGTCAAGATGCACAGCAGGTCACAAGCAACCTTTGTATTAAGTATGAGTTTCAAAAGTTTTAAAAGTATGTCATGAAAAGAATTTTACTTTTATTTCTATCAGAGAAGTTTGGTACAATGAAACTTAACATTTTAAAAATTTCAACAAATCAATCTGAAAATATCAGGTGCACATGTTTCAGTGGTGTATATTATTTCTATATCATTTCTACAAAATAATAATCATTTCTATATTATTTCTATAAAGCTTAATAATAATTAAAAAAAAATAATTTAAGAGAAAATATGCAAACAAAAAATACCCACTGAAAGACAAACAGGATTCCAGTATACCCCCGAAGTTATTTGCAGGAGGTTTAACATTTGCACATTAAATGCTAATTTATGATATAATGATCCTACCTTCCGCACATTACCTCTACTACAATTAAATCTCAGAGGTGTATTTAAAACAATAAAACATTTAGGTCCAAAAAATTTTTTTTTAAACTTTTTATTGGAATTCTATTTATCATGCAAAGCAATGTCTATTAGTCTAAAACAAAACATTTTCATACTCTCGTTGCTACATTAACTTGCATTGCCTTCCAATAAAAGAAATCCTGTATCAAGCAACGTATCAATTTTAAAATTGCTTAAAATGTCAGAGAATGAAAAGGATATCATAGAAAGAAAACGAAATGTTAGTAAACAGAAACCTGCAACACTATAAAATAAGAGTATCAAAAATTTCCAGTTCTTTCAAAATGCCACGCGCCAAACTTGGAAAACAAAAATTCAGCTTGGTAAAAAGGTGTTTCAATAAACATACTGTGGAATCATTAAAACTTGTGGAAGCCAATTTTTGTGGATTGCATAAATTTTACAGGTTTGTGGGGACGTAATTTGTCCATTCTCTTATACCTACAGAAGGAAATAGGACCATGTACCTCTAGTTTATTAATTCGTGGAGGATGTAAATTCATGGATGAGAGGTACCCACAGATTCCACAAAAATTGAGCCATCACAAAATCTAATGATTCCACAGTAGACTGCACTTCATTTTAGCATGTGTTCTATTAATAAAATTCTAAGCTCAGCTTAGATCAGAACAAAATCATTGTTCAACAACATTGAATTTTTGATACTTTCCAGTTCAGTATTGAGTTAGCATTAATAAATTAGACACAGCAAACTCCACACCTGTCTAACTTTAATACTTACCATATTTTTACCACCGCTAGATTTTCGATGACTCTTTTTCTTTAAACTACCACTCTTACAATTAAACGAGTCTCCAAATGAGCTATCAAATGCTGAAAAGGGATCATTTCTTGCATCACTTACAAAGTCTCCATTTTTAGTGGTTAAATTGTGTTTAACTGGACTAGAAAATGATGCAAAAGGGTCACTACAATTCAAAATGTCAAAAGCAGAAGACCCAAATCCATCTGAATTGAAAGGATCTGTGTCTGCAAAGGGGTCATTTGTTGTAAAGGGATCCTCAATTGTGAAGCTGCTGAAAGAATCCGAGTGTGAATCTTTGGTGCTTTGTTCTTTTGGTGGTGCTTCCTGTGGGGACGCATTATTTCTGGGGAGTGGAGTTGGCATAGATGATGCGACATGTGACCTTGGTCTTGGTCGTGGAACTGGAGTATTACCATTCATGATTTGTGAATTGGATGAAAGCGACACGGTTTTTGGCACGTTTTCTGAGTTTCTTGGTGGAGGAACAGGCAGGGAGGGAAGCTGATTTCCTGTATGAGAAGAAATTGGTCTGGGTGGGGGAGCAGGAGGAGGGGGGTCATTTGGTAAGGGAGGGGGAGGTCCTTGTGGAGAAGGTAAATCAAAGTCATCAGAATTATCAAAGTAATTCTGATTCAGAGTCAGTTCCTCTGTACTTTTGCTAAAAGCAGACACATTTGAAGCACTAGTGGTCTGTATGTGTAAAGCAGGGGAAGACTTGAGGAAAGATGTATCAAATGGGTCAGACAATTTACTAGTGAATGGGGAGAATTCAGCAGCTGGAAGACTTGAGTCCTCAACATTGCCAAATGGATCACTTGCCTGCTGAGGATTTGGAGTGGGTTTTTGCATCATCTCATTGATAGATTTTTTTGGAGGAGCATTACGCTCTGCAAATAAGTCTTTTGGAGTCTTATTTGTCGTTGTAGATCCAATGCTACATAGGTCAGCGAATGCATCCTTTGGTTGAGAGGCAGTTGTTACTGGAGCGGCAAATGGATCTTCCACCTTGGTTGGAGCTAGAACAGGTTCGTCAAACAAGGAGAAGTTCTGCTGCTGAGATACATGTGGCTGTTGTTGTCCTCCCCATGGACTGCTCATTGGTTGTTGTTGCCTTTGTGGAACTGGTGGTGGAGCAAGTCCACCAAATCCTCCCTACATGAAATAAAGAATACAAGTACAATTCATACATAATTTACAATTACATGTACATAACATGGGTTCACATAAACATAAGATAAGACAAATAAGTACCCCTTGCTGAGCAGCAAATGGGTTTGCCTGGCTGGTTGGTGGAAATGGTGTTGCTGGCTGTCCAAATGCTCCAAAACCTTGCTGTTGTTGATTGCCACCAAAACCTTGTTGAGGAGCACCAAACCCTTGTTGAGGACCACCAAATCCTTGCTGCGGGCCACCAAACCCTTGCTGAGGACCACCAAATCCTGGCTGAGGACTGCCAAAACCCTGAGCACTTGGACCAAACAGACTCATGATATCATCTTTCTTCTTAGCTGGGGCAGGTTCACTGCTGAAGAGATTAAGTTCATCAAGGTCAGAACTGGCAGACTTGCTCTGATTGGTTTGTTCAGCTGGAGCTGCTGACGTTCCCCATGGATCAGAAGATGTGGCAGCAGGAGCGGGCGGTGTCTGAATATCATCAAATAATGACTCCATCTTGTCTATTTGTTTTATTCCCTATAAGACATTCAAGATTCATTTGTCAGTAAGAACAATAGTAGAGGACAGTGAAGAAACCACTAAAATATCTTAGTTGCAACAAAACCAGGCTCCGCGGCAATAAAACTTAGATGAGCTCACTTTTGTTCTCAATCTCACTTTTCCCTTATACATTCCTTCAGTAAAAGTGAGACTGAGATCAAAAGTGAGCTCGTCTAATTTTTATGGCCCCGGAGCCTGATCTCAAAAGCAACATTATTTTTTCCCTTGTTTACGTTCAAATTAATATTTTAATTATTAAATAACTCAGAATAGTGATTTACAATATCTGCACAAACTTACCTAATAATAATAATAAGTGTCAATATGTAATCATCATACTTTTCCTATTTCAATATAATTTTTATTACCTGTGCAATGCTGACTAACTCTGTCTGCAGAGCAGACAAATCTGTGGGTTCTTTTTCCACGGGAGCATTGTTAGGCGGAACCTGACAAATATCAACAGATAAAACATGTTTAAACATGATCCAGGAAATATTTTTCATTTTCCTCTTTGGTGTCTAAATCAATTTACTGACAATTTTCCTTTTGTAATTATGAATGAAGGTATCTGATTTTACTAAATGTTAATTTTATCATTAATTCCATAATTAGTATCAGGATACAGGTATAATCAGAGACTGTGTTTTATAAGTATAGAGGTAGAATTTCAGTCAGAACTGTTAGTTTTCAATGAAGTGTCATTTTAGTCTGACTGTTAATGCTCTCTGAACCAATATAAGTGTTAATGGGAAATATCGCATATGTAATTGTGATTAATAATATGGGAAGTTTTCATTGTTTTGTAAACAACACCTTGTGGTCAATTCATTTTAGGCTTCCAACAACTATGAGTAAAAAAAAATTCCAAACACTCAAACAGGTGAATCAGATAACACATACAAGTACCAATACTCAAAATGAATTTGTGGTGCAATTTGCCTCCATTGGATGTGTTATAAATTAACTAAAAAAAATAGCTTTTACCAGTACTTGTTTTTACCAAACAAATCTGAACTTATAAAAAGAACTAAGGATAAAATAACTTCGCTGTAAAAATTTTTAAGCAATTAAGCAAATTTTTAAGCAAAAAGCTAATGTACATGGTAATCAAACTTCTTCGTCCTTATGACTAGCTAGGAAAAACTAGAGCTACTGTAAACAAGCTCACAAAAGTATACCCCCTGCTGCATTTTTTAAAAGTGCCTTTTACAATTTTCTAAATGTAACCTTGAATTTGCCAGAATGAGGTCAAGGTCAAGACACCTCCAGGTCATGAATAATCTTTGTACCAAGTATAAGCTTCCAAAGTTTCACCATTAAAATGATATAGCCTGGACACAATTGCACAGACAGATAGACAGACAGATGGATAAGTGTGATTCCTTCAGACCCCCAAACTCAGTTTGGAGGGGGTATGATTATAAGACAAGATTTAAAAATACAACTAAAAAGGTTTCAAATTGAACTGTTTTGGTAAAAGATTTGAACCTTTGGAGACAAGTCAGACCAATTTGTCATTCAGAGCCTTGTTCTAAATTAAGGATATTTTTTGTGTTAGAAGCCAATATCAGAAAAAAAGGATAGATATCAGGACTAAAGCAAATCACACTCAGATTCAGAAAATTTAGTTTTAAGAAATTAATATAGCATCTATATCTATTAGAACAAAACTTACTTCATAAATAGGCTCATCTATCTCATGCTCACCAAGGTTGTCCTAGTGATTTCATGTTAATAATTTTACATTGTAGCCATGTAAATCTAACACTTAGGTCATGCACTACCGATATTTACATGTACTAGTAAATTTAACAAAATTAAAGCATTAATCAACCATGATTGTGTAACCTTTTAAAACAATCCTTTGATGCTCTACACATATAATTGAATGTACATATCAATTGATTTTGGAAACATATCTGTGAGAAGGTTTACCTTTGAGTCTGGTTCATCATCTGTTGAGGACTCTGTGGTTAAATCACCACCAAGTTGTACAACTGCAGGAATAAAAAAAAATATTCAAGTGGCTCAATATCTTAATATTTTAAAACTAGATGTGTCGTAACGCCGCGAATGCCCCCGCAGGCAGCCAAAATTTCAAATTCCATATTTAGTTTTAAATTTGTATTCAAACTTGACCTGTATTTTCTGGTAAAATACCTGCATATGCAATTTTAACCTTACACATACATCCCTACAAAAGTTAGAGAGCGGAAACTGAAAATTTCTTATTTTTTCTAAGTTCAAGAGGGATAACTCTGTCAAAAATCATTGGACCATGACCAAATTTAACCTGGGTATTCCTATGACATATCCATATGTTAAATTTGAGTTGAATGTGTGCAACTGTTGCAGAGATAATGAACGGAAAGTGAATGATGACGGAATGACAGAATGATGGAATAACAGAATGATGGAACAGAGTAACACTATATGCCTTGGCCACTTTATGGCGGGGGCATAAAAAAATATACATATGTCTACCAAACAATGGTGAACTACAGAATGAAGGTAATATTTTAAATCAACACCTCTTCTCTCTCCACTTCCTCTTACAAAATTAACAATAATAGATGAGACAATAAATTCTTGGAAATAAATATTAATTTTATACATTACATGAATAATTATTTATTCTTCTAACTAAATTCCACAAAATGACTGATTAACAATGATATAAATATTCATGAGACACAAAAAAACATGAATTTCATAGAATTAAGTTTCATGCGAGTGAAAGATTAAAGAGCTTTCTTCTGTATGTAAGTTTTATCTATGACTGTGGTAAATCAAATCACTGTTCTAGAAGATGCATTGGTTAAAGAACAAGGTACAGTTTCAATATAAATCTTGCCCTGTGCTTTTCTTAAAAATGAAAGTGATGTACAAAATTAAAACTCATGCTTTTTGAATCATTGAAATTACACGCAGAAAGTTCATACAAATCATTTTTCTCACATGAGCTTCTAAATGCTAATTGTGACGTCATAAACTTGTGCATTTTCCCGTATTTTCATGAAAAGTTGCAGAAGACACCAATTTTCAATGGAATTTTCTCTCAGATGATATTGTCCACAGACATCGCCCACAAAGATTTTGAGATATGTGATTTTTCAAAGAATTTTACACAACATATCCAAAAATAAAAGTGGGCGATGGCTGTGGACACTATTTTCTTAAGAAAAATAACCCTTGAAATGGGTCATTTTGAGGCTTTTTCTGCTTAAAATAGAGAAATGCATCAAATTTATGATGTCATATTTCCACAATGATACTCTTTCATGACATATTCTTTCCTGATTTATCACTGTGATATACTCAACTAATAGTTAAGCCAGTTTCAAAATTTTTGAAAACATTAAATTTTTAGGGCACAATAGAGGTAAAACCGTACCTTCTTCTTTGTTGTCATACAACTTGTACACTAAATTCATGTCCCTTAAAAATTTAGAGCAGGCACTAAAATCATACTTGGGTCACCAATACAAGTTTGGTCTAAGTAATATTCATAAACACAAAGGAATGAACCACCTCCGTTAGCTATAAGTTTGCCACTCAGCTAAAATATGTAGGTCACCTAAAGCAATCAAAACAATTTTGGTGGTTCAAATCCTTATATGCATCATTAATGCAAGTTTGCCCCATACAATAATAAATATTAACCCGACCACTCTTCTGGAAAGTATAGGCTGGACACAGCATTCAAAACAATGAAGTCTGTATCTTAAAACGTAACACAAAATCAAATTAACCCAAGACTTAAACATGTAGCTACTCAGGAACCGACTTGATCAAAACACTTTAACTTGTCCAATGTTGCTCAAATGCAGCAACTCTTAGCAAGTCTGGTAGTTTTCCCTGTATGTGATATATCATGTAAATTTAGTCAAGATAAAGCTGATACATTAAGCTTATTTGGAATTGGGTCTGACCCAAAAACTTTAACCCAGGATGACAGTGCTTAAGCTTAAGCTCTTTCCTAGTTCCTTTGGGTGACTGATTGTATTAAATTAACCTACCATTCTTTGGTGCTTCTTCTTTTGGTTTGTCATCTGTCTGTTGCTGTTTAGCCACCTCCATCTCTTTTTTCTTGTTTTCATACACCACTTGGAAGAGGTCTCTCAGAGTCAATACCACATTTTCTGCCTACAATATTTTTATCGATTTCACAAAATTCAGTATTTACAGAAAATCCAAGTAAACTCTTCTTCAAATTGTAGAATAATTGCTCCAATACAAGACAGTTTCAATACTTGATATCATGGAAAAGAATCTGCAACACATACCGCTTTTTCTGTTTTGATTCCAAAGAATTTATGAGTTCTATCCTCAGTCCCGTATATATATCCAAATGCTCGTCTGTCACTCACGTCCCGTGAAATGAAGGAGATCTTATGAACAGGATGATGGTGCAATAATGTCTGAAATACAATGTCGATGGATGAAGTAATGTATACATGTATATAAGGAAAACGTAAATTTGTATCATTACTAATGGAAATTTAGGTTGTATATACCAATACGTGTATTTGGTTTATCATTTTTTGTTAAACACAATTTTCGCTGTTATTGTACTTGAGAGATGAGAAAGACCATTGAATTATCTGATGATAGAACTAGAAATTTTTATAATGGTAGAATGAGATAGCTAATGCTCTCCATAAATTTACACATCATTGAAATTGATTTTTTCCCTAAACCATGTAATTTGATCCCCCCTTCCAAACAAAAAAAAATCTAATGAAACCACAGTATGTAAACAAATCATTTCCGTTTCCTTAAAACTAAGAATCATAAAAAAAAAAAAAAAAGCTGAATAATTTTTTTGAAGTAATCATGCCTCATTTTTGTGTACATTTTGCCAATGAATTAGCCCTTACAACAAAGAAATTATAAAAAATTTCTGATTCCTGGAAAGTAAGACCTAGTTCTTGTATATTGTGGCCTGTATTGTACGTGACATTCATTAGTACTCACAGCTGTTCTAAGGTCAATGAGTTTGATCCCCTCCTCTGAAATGTTAATTATAATTCTCTGTTTGTGCTGACCAGCAGCCTTTACAGCCATTTTCTGGGCCAGAATGGTTTCCTGACACATCCTGTCCCCTCTGGCATCGGCGACGTCACTCACTCCTATCAGTTTGGCATTGTACACCACACCCTCACCCTTAAATCTGAATGGGTCATTCCTAGGATCTGTATCAAGAAAAAGTACAATTACTGTGTCAAATACAGGAATAATTTTCATCTTCTTTAAAATTCACAATCCTCATTGCCGTATTAATTTACAGTCTAGATTTTCTTAATACCATATACACAAAGACTTCTTTGTTTTGAACATACATGTATTTCACTGACAATATCTCACTGGGCTGGACACAAATTCAACAAACTCAGGAAGTCCTCTCCCCAGAGACTTATTTCATACACCGCCTTACAAATTCCTTGTCTTTCTCTTTCATGAGCTCGGATTACATTCACATTCAGGTAACAAACAGTAGCTACATCATTGTTTTACTTACTTATACTTCCAGTATCTGAATGCAATCGAAGAAAGGTAGTCATATTGATACAAATCACCTCCAACAGTGATAATCTCTACATTCTCCCACAGCAATACTTATATGTTTTATATATTACACAATCAGTGTATGCAAATCACCTGTTTTACAGGAAGTTTTTCTTCTTATTTAGAATTATCACAAGATCACGATTCTTTTGTTGATAGTCCAAGGTTCACTTTTTATAAAATAAATTGTCTAGTCCTCTTTATATACTTACATTTAAGTAACTATCCTTGTTGCAAACCTACAGTAAATTTTTGTAATAGCCTGGATGACAAAGACTTTGTTTGTTTTGCTTGGGTCACTTACATATTATGGCTATGGGAAGCTTTAGTAATTACTGAAGTTACACAGTGATACCTATGGGGTGTTACTTTAATGCCGGTTACTATGGATGAGTTTTGTAATTGCCACATACTTGTATACCCATGGAAGGTTTTTGCAATTGTCTCTAGGTTACACTTTTTTCTTTCAAGTCCTTTAAAAGATATCACAGTGTATGCAACAGTCTTTCAAATGATTATGTACATTTATGTGTATTTGTTTTATGTATGATGACATATGATACCAAATAAATGATGATGATGATAAATGATGAAGCACATTGTCCCCAGCTAACGAATGTTTCCTACCTCCACTGCAAAAGAGTTCCACTAAGTTAATTAATCATGATATCAAGTATTGTTCAGCTAACCTATATATATATACCTATGGGAAGTTTTTGTAATTGTTTAGCTTACCTTCCTATGGAAGGTTTTTGGAATTGTTTGGTTTACCTATCTTTTAGGACATTTTTGTAATTATTGTATTTACATGGTAGGTTTTGTTATTTCCCTTTTAATACCTATGGGATGTTTCTTTCATTGTTCAGTTTACAATCTGAGGGAGGTTTATGTAATTTGTAATACTTATAGTGTAGGTTACCAACATACAGGTGGTTTTTGTAACTGTTCAGTTTACCTACTCTTGGAAGGTTTTTAGTTGGTTAGTTTCCCTACCTAAGATCATAGGTTTTTGCAACTGTTCAAATTACATGTACCTGTCTCTGGGAGTTTTTTGTAACTGTTCAGTTTACTTACCTATGAAAGGTTTGTAAATGGTTAGTTTACCTACCTCTGAGAAGTTTTTGTAATTATTCAGTTTTCCTGCCTATGGGAGGTTTCAGTTAAGGTCTAGGTTGCCTGCCTAGGGAGGTTTTTTTTAACTGTTCAGTTTACTTACCCTTGAAAGGTTTGTAGTTGGATAGTTTACCTACCTCTGAGAGGTTTTTGTCCATGTTCAGTTTCCTTACCTAAGATCATGGGTTTTTGTAACTGTTCAGTTTACATGTACCTACCTCTGGGAGGTTTTTATAATTATCCAGTTTTCCTGCCTATGGGAGGTTTCAGTTAAAAGTCTAGGTTACCTACCTACAGGAGGTTTTTTGACAGCCCTCCTTTGTTGTGGGGTGCTGTCTGCAGGAGGAGTGGTGGTGGTGGTTGCTGTTGGTTCTGATACTGAGGTTTCTGGAGTGGATGTGGTTTCTTCGGACATTCTGGTGATGTATATACTGCCTTTATGGTAAAGTCTTTCAGTGGTGTTCAATCAGTGATGGAGAAAATAGCAAGATGTCAGCACTACAACAGAAAAAGCACCAATAGAAAATAGCAAGATGTCAGCACTACAACAAAAAAAGCACCAATAGAAAATAGCAAGATGTCAGCACTACAACAGAAAAAAAGCACCAATAGAAAATAGCAAGATGTCAGCACTACAACAGAAAAAAAAAGCACCAAGATATTCAGGTAAAATATTTACTTTTCCTAAAAGAATCCTTAATCAGAATTCTTTTCAATTACAGACAGTGTGAGGTTGGGTTTCCCAATCTGTAAACTAATTCATCTTCATGCCAACTTAGCTTGCACTTTTATATTTATTTTACAACCAAAACCAAATGAGTTTATAGATCAAATTTATACCTATAGCCATACAAGTATATATAGGCAGTGGGAAACTCCCAACAACATATTATTCAACAATGAGATGTCAGTATACATGTTTATATGAATTAAAGACATATGATTGAATATGAACAAAGCACTATCAAGTACATGCTCTACTGAATCATTAAAATCTTTCTTGTGATAATTACACGTTAACTTATATAGTTTTTTATGAAAATTTCTAAAATGTTAAAATTAATCACACCTTGCAAATGCTCAATATGAGCAATAACCCACATTTTAAAATGTAGAGTATGCCTTAATTAAACTTACGATACATTCACCTCTATTAAACAAATCAAGGCATGGGTAATAAGATTTATCACTGTAAACTACACTCCTTTCCAAATTAATTCAAGCTGAAACATGACAACATCAGAATATTATCTTAAATAACCTAAATTACACAGATAAAAACATTTTATGTTGTCTAACCCCTATTGTCCTACATCACCTCACACAAGCACCTGCTTAGTCAAACAACACAGAAAATCTATCCCCCATCTTCTCCTGCTCACTTTAAAAAAAAAATTGACAAACCTCCCAGTATCTTCTCCTCCCATCTATCTCAATAACGACCTTTACTAGGGTACCCTACAGTTCATTATCTGTACTATCTATATAAAATACTGGTCAATAAAATCACACAGATAAAATACCGACAGCCTTATGATGAGGTATATATATACCTATAAAGCTTACACTGTTAGTTTCAGTATGTACCTGTATACAAATTACCCTCCCGAGGATCAAAGGTCCAGACTGTGGTTAATATTGCTTTATCTATAACTAGATTTCTCCAACGGGAAGCTGGTGTGTTATAAATACATACACTACAAGTGCTCACAAAATGTTAAATAATCTTAATGCATAGTGTTACATAATCTCCTTTTAACAAAGTGGTTGCCTCTTCATGAGGTACATTAAGTCGCAGAGTGTATCATTGTAAGGCTGCAGCTGATTCAACTTGGTTAATTCTAATGCTTTTATCAAAGAGGAAATCTTCTAAGTGCTTCCATGGTAATAAGTAAACATATAAGTTCTATTGAATATTTCATACCACCAGTTTTAATTCTACAGTTTTCATTTATATGCATTTGCATTCATGCTAAGTCTCTTACCTACCCAATACCAACAATCATTTGATGGTGCAATAAATAATATTTTAAAAAATCTTGAATATTTTGTCAGATTCATCTTAAATCTAATTATTTTCCTATACCTTCTTTGAAAACAGTGCAATTCTTCTTAACAAATCTTTGCAAACAGCAAACAACTAGGGGGAAAAAATAAGGAAAATCATAAAATACAAAATTAAATATTTCCATTTCTATTTGTTTTCTCTGTGATAACTCTTTGAAAGTTAGTTGAGTTGATTTCTTGATCATTCTACCGGAATGTAAATTTCGCCAAGCGAAAGGTCAGGAGCTAAGAAGGCCTAATATGCATGTAATTCTTGTGCAGCTGTCTTTGTGTTTGACCTCAGTGGGCGGGACTATTGAAATTGACATGTGAGGCCTCATATTCTTTAAATCTATTAGCCTACATTTTTAAAATCTAAATTTCCAATTTTATTTCACAATGAAATGGAAAATGGAAATCGCACGTTTCCAACTATCGTTGATACCCTGGCATACTCTACTAACTAGACAGTGATTCCTTAATTAAACACTCGGAGGAAAAATACGTAATTCATGCATTAAAGCAAAAAAATAAATATCCCCCCAATTTTCCCCTCTTTTCTAAAGTGCATAGAAATTCTTGTCTGCAAAAGTATGTCAAGAGCCTCTTAGCTGTTTAACTACATTAATTCAGTTGTCAGTAGTCTGGATATGTACATAAAAATTACATGGGAATTTAAAAAGAAAAATTAGCAATAAAAAATAGGACTGTGACTCTATGGTAACCATAACAATTGTTGAAATGGGACTAATCTGTTAACTGTCTTTCCTCTACATTCCTAATGTGATTTAATATCTTTTTTCTCTCCTAATGATAAATCGTACATGAATGATTTCACAGTAAACACCTCAAAACACAAATGACATCAGCTGACGATTATCCTCCTAGTTTTTGTCATGCAATTCTCATTACCATTACAAACCCTCACCTCAATTAAATCTTACTATACATGCTACATCCATCACCTTAATATATGTGTATTTTGACAAAGAAGAATATCCTGTTTTCTAAAATATAAAATCAAAAGCCTGAAAGGCTTCAATGACGTCGAAGAAGAAAAACAATTTCAAAAGATCATTTTGAATTTGAAGATAGCAATAAGTCCAGTGAGTGACTCAGGAGAAATAATAAAAAAAATAGTTTTAAACAAAATATCACAATTACAGTCTGGGGCCTTATGTCATGGTCCGAATGGAGCAGGGTTCGAATTGACCAGACACCGTCGAACATGTTTCATGCTAAATTCTTTTCAGTCAGTTGAAGAACTATGAAGGATTTCATAAATTTATATAATATTTTTTCTAATTGCCAATGTCAAAGCGTTGTATTAGTGATTGCATCTAAACTACAACCAAGACTGTTCTGTTACAATTACGATCGAGTTACGATCGGGCGTGGTATACGGTATACTGGGAAATGGAGGAAATAGAGAAATACAGTAATACTGGTCAACATCATCGGTTTTTAGGATAAATTTGGTCAGAAGATTGTAAAAGTAAAGCTAAGATTTACAAATTCAATCTTTTCAGTCTTATAGTATTCGTGTTTATGTAATTTTGTAAATTATTTTACCGCCTGTTGGGTTGTTTGTGTTCCACAGTTATCGTTCCAAAATGTTATTCATGTCATCCGACGCACCTTTCTGTAGAAATTCATCCGCAACAACCATCACGTTTTTATTGTGTGAAAATAAAACATAATATCGTTGTTTTGTAAAAGAATTAATTGTAGATACAATTGATGCAATTTCATTTTCAAGCTATAATTATTCATTGTGAGCGTTTTAAAAGAAATTGGTTTATAGCTATTGCTATTTTCTATTGCGGATGCATCCACTGACACATTCGGTCCCGTACATCCCTTGGCGATTTCACTTGGCCGATCGCTAGATGACGTTCGAGCTCCAAGAGCTCGACGTCATAAAAAGCCGAAAAGTTCTATAAAATTTAAAATATTGACAACAGCACTGGAATATTTTAACTTAATTTGGTAAATGATTACTTCATATCTTCCCTTCATAAAAATGATACAGAAAGTATACTGGTATGATAAAATATAAGAATTAATCAGCTCTTTAATACATGTCAAACACTTTAAAATTTCAAAATTGAAATACTTTGTCACATTCATCCATCTCTGGATTAACAGATACACCACAAAAGAACATGTAATTATGTGCATAAATTATGCAGTTACAGCTATTATGTTATATTGCACTCCTCAATGACTTCTTAATAATTCTAATCTATTCAGACTTGAAAAAAACCTATTAGAGAGTTTACTTCACAATGTTTATATGTGTCACAATATGCCAGCAAATCATTTTATGGATCATAAACATCACCTATGTTCTTTACAAGACACCCAAAACCGACTCTATTAAGAAAATACTCAAATACTGAAATATTTTTTTTATTTGATGTATCATACAAAATTCCATGATACAGACCAATAAATATATAACGTTATACATTGTATCAGTCTTACATGACAGCAATCACTCTTCTCCTAAGGTAAGCTGCAGATCTTTCAATACCTAGTCTGAAAAAATCTGGAGGAACTTCCATCCCAGTTTTTTATCAGACAAGCAAGTTAATAATCTGCAGCTACCTTACTGTAATATTTCTACTCATATCTGATGGTGCAAATCCATTCCCATGCATTCCTATTTTTAGAAAATAATATCAAAGAAAGAGAATTTTGTTGAGAAATATCTCATCTTGAATCTAACTTTTCCTAAGTAAGTGACCCATCATGTCATGTCAAAAATGCTTGATTCTAAAACATTTGTCAATAAAACATATAAAATAATAAATTACAAAACTTGTAGTATTTACACCCACTGCATCTCCCCCTCCCTAACCTCATATAACTCCCAAGCAAAATTGGTTCTCAACATATTATTCAATTTGTTGAAATCTAATAATTAAAAGAAGTTACTCATGATGTAAACGAAGAAAATGTACTTAACAAAAAAATATTAAAAATTCAATTTGTATCAATTTTAAAAAAATTATCTCAAAGAAAACATCAGAAAGTTGTTTTCTTGTTATTTCTAAGAATTTCTCTTTAATAATGTGATAAGATTGAACAATAAATTGACCAGTCCTGATTATAATAAAGTAAGGGGAATTCCATGCCAAAGGATTTGCGTAATTTGATCAGTTCACATGTACAGTTGTAACTTGTACAATTATCAGAAAACCTCTTACTTGTGTATTAATTTGTCATTGTGAATGCCAGCAAAGAATAACTAAGTTACTAACATTACCTGAAATCAAGGATAAAGTAGCGATTTAAGAGTTTAAATATCTAATCATGCTAATCTTCATTTTTATTTTTTTTTTTTAATTTTTGGCCTAACAGAGAAAATTCGACATAAATGAAAAAAACCTTAGTTCAATTATAATGCTAATTGCTAAAAAGCAGGTTATCAAATCAATTGATTTAAACAATCCGAGTTCACTATAACACAATTTTGTTGGTCACAGTCAGATTGTGCAATAACTAATGTCCCTAGCATATCATAAACAACTCCCCCCTTGTTTACGACTCGCGACTACAAAGTTTATATGACATACACCAGTACAAGAAGTCGACTTACAACCGAAAATTGTTCAAGTAAAACAAGACATACTTACCATTATGTATAATTTTTCAATATGTATGCAATATTTAAAGAGAATTAAATCGTCATTTCATTGACTTCTTCTCCTCAGTCAAGCAAAACAAACTACACGCCTCCTAAGTACAGCAAGGTGCCCGGATAAGTAAACTTTACCCTAGTGACGTAACAGACAATGCACGGCGGATCAAAGTATGACAAAGTCGCTGTCCAACCCGAGCTTGTTTTCACTCCGGAGGAAAGTTATAATGATTGAATACATGAACCTTATTTTCTCCATCCATCAATTGTTCACATAAAAAGTCACAAAATTTCAAAAAATATTAAATTGTTATATTCACCGATTGAACAGTTGAATGTCTTTTATTTAAAAGTGAAAACAGCTTTTAAAAATGCTAAAAATACTCTCTCTCTCTCTCTGTATATATATATATATATATATATATATATATATATATATATATATATATATATATATATATATATATATATATATATATATATATATATATATACACTCAATATTTAAAAATGACAAAATATATTTTATATTAAGGAGAGGGACTAGTAAGTTGAAAAAATTTGATTCCAATCCTATTAAAGTCATATATGGCGTATTTTTTATAAGTTCAGCCGGACTAACTAAAATTAAAAAGTTCTATTTGTTTTACTACTTTATATAAAGATAGGACTTTCCTGTAAATTACACAATTTAAATCAATCACATTTCAAAGATATTTGAAATTTAAAACAATACCCAATGTATTTACCGACTCCGCAATTAAATAACAGACACAGTTTAAAGTCAATTTAACTAAGGAAACATGAGGTTATTCAAGTTCAAAATCGGTGAAAATTTGAATTTGAACGTAAATAACATGTATCATGTTTATCTACACTCAATCTCGTATTTTTATTTTTTAGCTCAGATACGCCATATATAGCTTTAATTAGATGCAAGTATATCACAAATTTATTTTTGTATGTTATGATATCTTCTTCTTGTCATTTATTCCAAATAATCCCCATCTGCTATTTATAATCTTCCGCCCCGAGTTTTGTCTAAATTGTGTCAAATCCATAGATGCTATTGATTTCTATGTGATTCTTTATACTTCATGCCCTCAAGGACCCATAATTGGTCTCTATAATCTTATCGAAACAAATTGTTGTTTTGTACTATTTTAAATTAAGCCATTTTTTTCATTTTAAATAAGAGTTGTTAAACAATCGTTGTTCAAAAAATCAACATAACAGCAAAAGTCGGAGTCAAAATTATGATTTTAAGAAACCGGTATGTAACAACGAAAAATTTTTCGACGTTGAAAACTGACCTTCAAGCCGTTGAAAAATGTAAGTTTTTGTAGAAAAAGAACCCTAGGGGTTCAATTTTCTACATATGCAACCTATAAAAAAAATTGACCCCGTTGAAAATGACCACCATCCCAACAGAGTGATACAAAGTTTAAAAGAGGTGATTGATGACTAGGTTTGGTTCTCTTGCATTTTCTGACGAACACTGGAAGAACACACGATTAAAATGTAATAAAGGAGCATTACATGTGTTAAGATTTATTATTTTTTACTGGAGAAAAATGCTAATGGCACCCCCCCCCAAAAAAAAGATAATCGTGACTTTAACTTTTCTATCGTCAACATCCCTTATCTATGTAGCAATATACCATTATATACCATATGGAGTTTATGTCTCTCATACGATTCGATACGCGAGAGCTTGTTCTACTTACGAACAATTTCTAAAGCGAGGCGAATTACTGACAAATAAGTTGATAATACAAGGATATCATCAGGTTTATTTTGTCAACATTTCGCAAATTTTATGATCGATACAATGACTTGTAAGCATAATTATACTCGTACAATCTATCGTTAAGTCGATTGTGGACTGCCTTTTTTTTAAAATTCAAATTGTTAGACCACAATTTTCTCACTGAATTGTCTACGGAGTTTTCCGTTGCTCGATCATGACAAGGAGCAACAGCGGGTGTGACCGGTCGACAGGGGGTGCTTACCCCTCCATGGCACCTGATCCCACCTTTGATGTTTTATAAAGGTCTTTGTTTGCTCTTCTCCAATGTTCCAATGGATATTTGAGCTTGATTTCTGGTCATTTTCTTCATATTTCACCTAGTTTTCAGCACACGATAAAAATCGGACAGTAGGTACAATGTACGTCAAATTCGCTATTGTTTACAAACTGTTATCTTAATCTTTCTTTTTCATCTATTTCATATTTGGATACTTTATTAATTAAAGACATTTAACTTTCAGATGAACAAGATATTTTGGTGGACAAATAAGTTCTCTATTCGGACAAATTAAATACACTTTGAAGAAAGTAGATTAAATTGTTTTTAAATTGTTCAGATGAACTGGGTGTTTGCTTGGACAACTAAGCGACTTATATATTTGTTCGAACAGATTTGGTGGGGTTTTTTCTTCTTCTAAATTCACTCATCTTTTCATTGGTCATTTGCAAAATTATTTTGTTAAAAACATTCTGATTGTACACACAAGTACCCTGAAGTTGATATAGTTTCTGATTGACAATATCTTTGTAGTTTTTGGAGATTAGGCCTTCCAACAATCTGACGAATTTCCATGGGTGTCAATTGCGCCCCTTCATTAGCAGATCTATTTTTGTATTCATATGAAGCAGAATTTATTCAAAACTTATAAATTAGACGAAGAAAACACTTGCTGTGGTCTTCAATTCGACATCTAGTGATATGGACGACGTATTATAAATTGATAATAGTTACTTCCATTCATATGTCGACTCGATATATATATTATCGAAGTGAACTTGAAATAAAAGATATCACAGAGTCTGACACATCTGTTTCATTTTGGATATTCTACTGGAAAAAGACGTTAAAGGTAATCTAACAACAACACTTTGTAATAAACGTGATGACTTCGTTTTTTCTATTGTCAACTTACCTTACTTGTGTAGCAATATAACTGTATCAGCTGCATATGGGGTTAGTAAGTTGGCCGGGACAAGTAAGGGAGAAGACCGAGGATGAATATAATCGTCTGTGGACGAAACCGAGAGCGATCATAAATTTCATCCTTTTCTAAGTCTTCCAAAGGATTTGATCTGTCTTTGAATATAGTCGCGGACGCCTGTGTTGCTGAAACATAAGTCGTTGACGAAATTGTCGTCTGTGAGCATCCATGTTTGCTTGTTTGAGTACGACTCTGAGAATGCTTCAAAGCATACTTGAAAAATCTTGAGTATGTACTCCGTTGGAGTTTGAGTATGAGTATAATAATTTATTATAACCTCAACTTTGGAGTACGAGTATGAATTTGGAGTACGGAGTTTGAGTTTGAGTACAAATTTGAACTCCAAAAAGTTTTATAACCTCGGGGCCAGGAGTCATTTTTCGACGTCGAAATTATTCGACGTCGAAGAATGACCGTTTTGCCTGTAGAAAAAGTGGCATTACCCTTAAATCTGCATATCCTACGCGAAGAAAAATGACCCCTGTAGAAAAATGATCCCCTTTAGATTTTGCTAGGGATATACGTATTTTTCTTTTTGATTAGAAAGATAAAGAATTATAAATAAAAAGGTCCGTGGACCAAAATACAGTTTATAATGTATAGCTATCTGTTGATCAAGTTGCATTTGAGTGCATGTATTTTAAGTCAGTCATCTTAAATAATAGTATATATAGATAAATGTTTTTTGGACGTATAGCAAAAAGCCCACTCTCTTAAGTAAATATTATACACATGCCGATGTACATGGCACATCCACACAAGACGTTTCGGAGTCTTGTTATTTAGGATTTAATTATAAAACTTTAGCTGAAAATAACTTATAAAAAATTAATCAGGGTTCTTTGCGCTATGAATAGATTGAACTGAGCCATAAATCACAAATACCAACCTATTGTCATTGAAAAGAGCAGTAACGCTACTTACGGTACACATATAAGCAATAAAATAATAATTAACTGGTCAGTGATGTTTCTAATGAAGACACCCACGGGCAAACTATATACTACTTAGATGGACTTGACATGAGCTAGGACACCGTCTATCAACCTTCATTCACATTTCTTTTCTGTGTGTTCTGAACTGATGTTTTTCGATTGCATTCACTGTAACCCTCCCCCCTCTGATAATGTCAAATTCATTATCACATACAGAAACCAGACGGATAATTCTGTATTTGATCAGCATTGTTTTATTTTATGACACACTGGCGGATTGTGTCCAAAAATATACACAAGATTAGTATATCAATTTTTGGTGTTGGGTATTGCATTAATTTTACCTAAAAATAAAGCTAAAATAAGTCAAAATTTTTTTCCAAAAACTTCTAAAACCTGAGAGCTGGGGGGGGGGGGGGTTCGCCTCCTTGGCCCCATTCCGACCCCCAATCGGTCCCCCCTTTTTCAAGAATCCTGGATCCGCCACTGTGACATAATGTAAACGAAAGTTTGAGGTGTATAACTATAATCAACAAGATTAATTCATATTTTATTCTTCTTAACAATACAATAAATTTACGCGATTCACGAGCATAAACTATAATTAACAGTGATAGTTTCATGATAAGAAAACAGGAACACCAAACTATAGTTACTTATGTTAATTATAGTTTACGACTCTGAACTGTTGTCCAACTTGAAAAAAAGTCACAAAAAATTGATATTATTCTTACGTATGTTACGCCAAATTCACAAATATGAGCTAAAAATATTTAAAACGAAGTGTATATATCGAATTTGTTATGTATACACGTGGTTCCATCTATGCAACTAAAAACGGTTGTAAACTACAGTTTACTGATGTTAAGTAAAGTTAAATAATTAACGAGGAAAGCTTTTGTTGATAACATTTATATAAAGTCTCATTTCTACTTATACATTTTGTAAGAGCAACTATTTTTAAATACCCTTTTTAATTCGTAGTCTTTGCATCGTCCTTTAATAAGAAAACCGCTTTTTTAAAAAAAACTAAATCTAGATTAACTAATGTGTATGCACATAAACTTTGTTAAATTAAATAATAAGTGACTTTAGAGATCAAGTTTCGGGGGGGGGGGGGAGCTTGGAAACCTTCAT